CAACAACACTATATGTCTAAACTGTCTCACTTATCTCACTTATGATTTCTAGATATGTTCATGACTTCGGGTATTCAAAGCTTGTCAGACCTCGTCACACCAACACTCCTTAAAAGAATTTTTAATTTCTTGGAATTATTGGTTGTTGGCAGTTTAAATTTTTAATTATGTCCAACATTAATATGTAATTTACTTATATTGCTTGTTATTTAATTTAACCTGCAGATTTCTCTGTACACTTCGCGTTGGCAGAATCACTACCCCTCACTACAATACGCCTCCACTGGCGGTTGCTGCAGCACGATTTTCTTCTTGTGGACTGTAGCACAAAGTTTGTTTCCGGTAACGTCGGGTGATGACTTCTGTCCATGCTTGCATACGCAAGGGACGAAACAAGGGTTATTTTTTATCTGCGGTTTAAGGCTGTAACAGGCAGTGCTACTCTCCTGTTCTGGTACGACTATACCAGAATGCCTTGTCTATATCAGAGATTTTCTAACCGTTTCTCAGTTAGATGCACCAAAGCGCAATGGAATGAAGTGCTTGCTCGACGGTTATTATCATTTAATTGGAAAAATTTCCCCTGCGCTGCGGTTCGAATCCATACTTGTAAACGATAAAGCCAAATTACTACCATCTACACCACTGCCGTGAAGCATATGCATATGAGAATGCATCGCTCAAGCCATTGTTGGATAATTTTCATTCGGCATATCAACTCATGGATGTTGAAGAATTTCACTTTTATATCGGTATTCGCAGAACAGATCGATGTGATAGGCACGAAATAGAACAATAAAAGGGAAACAACGAACGGCGCGAGATTGCTAAATAAATAAATAAATGTCAGACTGTTCACAGTCGCTGGAAGTAGACCCCTTCATATTCATGTCAAACGGCTGGAGAACCGACTGCTAACTATGATCTCTGAACTGACACCTCCACTTTCCTAACATTCTTTGCTCTATTTAGAAATCAGGAATTGGGCAATGTTGGGCGAATATGTGATGAGTGAGATGTGATGACTTTACAACGCATTTACTTGAGTGAGATGTGTTGTCTCACGAGCTGTCCCAGTGCAGATTTGTCATATTCCTTACTCGGAGATTCTGTTGCCCCACCGTGGCGCATTTTGCCCTGGCGCAGATGCTGCTGCAACAGGTTTGGGTGGAATGGACTGAATGTTCAAGGAAATAGCGACAGTATTCTAATGTTTCGTCACTATGTACTCGTTGGCTAGGCGTTTCCATTTCGCATAAGGCTTTCATCCTGTTACCGTAGTGTCAGAGAAAAATAGTCTTTTTCCTGTTTCGCTCTAACATCTTATTGGAACGACTTGCACGATACACTAGGCTACGAATGGATGTAAGTGATTGTAAAGTTTGATATTGAAATTTTGTCTGTGGGCGTTCTTACCTGTGTCGGATCTATTCCCAAGAGACTTAGAGTCGAACTGGATCCTATGTGAATCATTGTAACATCGCTAATCACGAGGATGCACTTGAAGGAGTTCTGAATTAAAGTTATATAAACATTGATATTAGTCATTGATATGTCATCATCTCTTTAGTCAGTCCTGTCCTAGCGGGAAGAAAAATGGTGTGAGCATTTGCATTACGCAAAGAAAGTATATTTCGAAACATGAGCATTCGTCTTTTCAGGGAAAGGTGATTCGAAGTTTCATTAACTGTTGTATCATGTGCATGGCTGTCATTCGCTAATTCTCATCCTAATGCAATTCGTATTTGCTTTTCCTATCAAATAACGTTCAGTATGATTGAAAACGCGGGAAATCGTGGGAGTACGCCCTTCCGGTGTACATGTGTTTTGTTGACCTAGAAAAAGCCTATGACCCGATTCCACGCAACAGTCTGTCGTCATGCCTTCGAACATACTTGATAGATGGCCAGCTGCTAAGGGCCATCCAGTCACTGTATTCAAATAACAGGTGCTGCGTCAGAGTAATTGGCATTAAGTCGAAACCATTCAACGTTCGCACTGGTCTCCGCCAAGGCTGTGTCCCCTATCCTGCTGTTTTACATCGTTAGAATAGTCCGGAGCAACCAGGTGATGAGTGTACCGGTGTAGGAGATGTTAAGTCTAGAAGGTTGCCGTTTGCAGTCGACCTTGTTTTATTGGCATCTTCTGAAACTTATCTTCAGTGCTCCCTAAAAAGGTTCGCAGTCGATTAATGTCGTGACCGGCATGCATTTAAAACGAAAAGCCTAGTGCTCCCTCGTTCTCCTGTCCGTTGCTCGCTTCAGATTAACGGAGAGTCAGTGGAGCACGTGGAGAAGTTCATGTACCTCCGAATTGTATTTACTAGTGATGGAAAATTGGAGAAAGAGATCGACCGACGATTTGGAGTAGCCAGTGGCATTCTGCGTGAACTAGCCTGACCCCTTGTGACTAAAGCA